GTGAGCCGAACTACCAATCAAACCACGCTGGAGCGGCACTTGGGTGGAAAGAATTCGGTGTCGAGTATTCGGTCATCCGGGGGACCCTGCGGTGCTGCCCTGCTGGAGCAGGATGCAGTCCTCATGCACTCAACGGCGGAGGGAGCGCCGGGGGAGATGCACAATCCCTTCTCGATTTTCAACAGTTTTTGGTTTGCACTTAGCACATTCGTACAACAGGGAGGCGATATAGTCCCACGGTATGTCCATCTTTAAATCTCTAAACATGAAGCCAAGTTTACTGCGAGTTGACAATTTATAACGATAAAACCATTTATTTTACTACAAAGCCATTAGAGGAATACTGTTCTGGTCCCGAAGAAAAAGCAGTTACAGTATGGTAGTTCACAAATACAAAACCACGCCAAGAATAACTACAGGAGGACTGCCCAGATTATAACTTATGTTAAATCAGTTGACTTGGAGGAGGAGGACGAGGAGGAGGGGAACAGGGGACTGATGAACTGTAAAACATAAAATAAGGCAATAAGATATACCGCAATTTTGGAAATGATTTTCTGACTTTTTAAATCAATGTCTACAGGCAAGCGCAGTCCACGCTTTTGCGTTTGTTAAAAATGCAATCGTGGGCAGGCAATAATGACCTGTGATTAAATGAGTATTTAAGCTCAAATTATTACAAACTGTTATTAATAAACAGGTAACACTCAATAAATCGGATGAAAAAATTCATCGAGTATCTTTAAATCAGGAAGTCAGGTTAGGCGAACGAATAGTTTAGACTAATTCATCATCAGGCAACACGATAATATAAGGGAGGGTAGAGTTAACGAGAGTTTAAGCAACCAATGAATTAATCGAATGTTGATGCAATTGACTATCTTTAACTCATTAAAACAATTATAGGTGGCTTTAGTTCAATATTATTTGATCGCTTTCTACATAATTAAACATTCATTTACACTCGTCTACTAAGAATCAAATGTGAAACCACGAATTCCATAAGGTCTGGGGAATGGATAATTAGGCGTCCCTACAAGACAGTTTTGCCGATAAAACTTGTGCGGCTTCTGTGACTGTTCTCTCAAACCTGTTAAATAGCATACTTAGGAATGAACAAGTAAGCTTGATCCGGCACACATTTTCGAATATTCATTTTACTAATCACTCGGAAGGCTTCGTTTGAGCTCAGGCGATGTCCGACATCCACAATGTGCGCAAGAATAACGCTGTTTACGCTACCGACCTCACGTTTTCTCAGCCATGCCGGGAGGTGTTTCCTTATTTTTTGGAATGGCGTCGACTCGAATGACCAATATAACCTTCTCCACAGGAACAAGTAAATGAATAGATACGCATCTGATCTGGCAACCTATCATTACCTTCCCCAGTGCAGGCCCGGTTGGCTGAGAATGATACCCGACCGCTGGCTGCCGGAAAAATTCGCTTTGTGGCTTGGTCAAAGCGTTTTTTAGGAGTTCTGCTGCCGAGAGTTCGGGTATCATCCCGGGTGATTTATAAGTTCCCGCCAAAAAAACCCAAGATCCTGGGCCAGTGTATGCGGCCACCACTAGCAGAAGCAATCGCTATCCAGTAGAGGAAGCCGGTCTTATGTGCGCAAAAGGTCCTCCCGCATGACATGAACGACAGTAACTTAACTGCATGTATAGCGGTCAAAGGAATAGTTGTGCCTAGATCACTAAAATCTTCAGGTAGAATCCCATGTTGGTGAAAAAAAAGGCAGAAGGTACCTCTGAGAGAGGTTTATTGTACACAGAAATCTTTATTGCTGTCCCAGG